TAAATAAAAGGGGAAAGCTATGAAGATATATATCAAGTATATCATCTAGATGTTTTTCTAGCACACAGCCAACTGTGAGTCAAAATGCTTATGTTTTTATATATATGTGTGTGCATTCTGTCTTTGTGTATGTATATATAAAAATGAGGAAACATATACACACACACACATACATACATGTGTGTATATATGTATGTACATTCTGGATGTTTACAGATATTCTGGAGATACATATGTATATTCTGTCCCTGACAGTGTTGGTGACTCACCAGGTTACCTGTGTCTTTTGAGAAGTAGAGATCCCAACCCCAAATACAGTATTACAGATGTGATCTAACGGATGACGAGTTTCTCCTCCCTCAGTCTACTGATTATGGTGTTACTTTGGTCCAGGGTGATGAGTCCTGTCTTCACCAGATATAATGTGAACTCACTGCTGCAAGCAAGGACATTTCCTTACCTGCCCCAGCCCCAAGTAAATGGATCCTGGCAATTCCTGTAGCCCCAGACCTGAAGACTGGCATCCTCTCCTCAGGAGCTCATACAACCCAAATGTTACCTCTGAAAAGTATATAGTTAAGGAACCAGATGGACAAGGCATAAAAATGTGTGGAATTTTGTATTTAACTGATAAGACAGGAAAATCTTCAGGGGTCCTGAGAGAAAATCAGGGTTCTGGATGTAGTTGCTAGTAAATAGCTAGCTATTAGTACCGGGAGACTGATGGGTGCTGGACAATTGTCACAGACTGAACTAGGAAGTCATAAAATACTGGTACTTCAAACTATATTCTTTATAGTGTAATAAGGTAATGCATGCCGAGGAGAGGCACCAGGAGCAGTTGAAGGGTTTGGTGTTACAAAGGCTAAAGGCTGAAGTAGCAGGCAAGGTGTGGAGGCAGGTTTCCATTCTGCCTTCATTTCCTTCCAAAGCATGCTTTGCACATTGTTTACTACTGAAAGAATTTCTGCAACTGGAGAAAATTGCTGAAATTGTCTGTTCCTTCAGACACCTAAAGTTCTCCATCTAGATTCTGCTGTTAGACAGGATGGCTTGAACAAGCATTTACTTAGACTGAAGGAATTTGAATACCTGAACATACAAATGTAGAGTAGATGAATATGGCACAGAAAATTGCATTCAAGTCACGATGCACCTTAGAATGCAGGAGGTGTACCCTATTCAACTTCAAGTCTCAGAAGCTGAGTAAATGTTTGTGTGCAACAGATCCCCACAAGGTATCAGTTGAAGAGTAAGTTTGATTCCTTATCCTTAGTTTGCAAGATTACTAATCAAGATCACATTCCTGGGCTTTAATTCATTTAGGGTTACTACACAGACTTGTTACATCCAAAAAGAGTCATGCTGAAATCTATGTTGTTGATCATATAAGAGTTGTGCATTTTAATAAAGTTTGTAGATTTGGTCACTTACATTTTTTTCAATACAACCTAGAATATGTTTAATTTAGTTTACGTTTATGCATAAGTAATCAAAATCATAATTATATTGCTAAAGAAACATCACTTAAAAATAGACATATAAATGCTGTTTTGATCACTGCAAACTGCTATTTGTGGTGCTGTGTTTTAGTTACTAGATGTAGAAAAATTTATCTGCCTTTGCAGGTGCGTACTCAAAATGCTGTTTCAGGGCATGTATTAGTATTTTTCGGAGAAATATTGATTGATTTATTACTATAGTTATAGTGAGTGAAAATCAATACAGTTGCTTCCCTGTACATCTGTGGTAGTTTCAAAGTTTTCAGAGTATAATTGACAGAAAGAAGTAAGAGCCTGATATAATTAGCAAACCTGTGTTCAGAGCTGTGCAACACCCTCTGCATAACATTGGTCTTTAAAAGACCATACTGATGCACTTGCTTATAGATTTTTTATTCTCACAGCATACTTCAGTGCTGGGTTCTTGCAAGATTTTGTTTCTGTGGGCTGGATTTCATTTCAGCAGATAGCCCAATCCTCTCATCCTTCTATTGTAACTGGTTTTTGAACTGTGTCAAATTCACCAATGGCTTTACGATAGTCTGAAAATTAACAGTGTCCTCTTACTTGCACTGGGCTATGTGATTCACAAATTCCTTATTTAACTGATACTTCTTTTCCCCTTTTCCTAAGGCAATCTTGTGTGCTTTTTAAACCAGTGTAGAGGCAGTAAAATGTGTATACATTGCAACTTTTTCTTCCTGGCACTCTATCACTTGGAAAGCAATCTGAGGCTTTTCCATAGGCTGATGTATTGGCAGTTACTTAAAAACAACCCAAAAATATAGAAACATGGTTTTTGATTATGCTATAAATTGGGACTATTTCCTTCAGGCAGGCGGAAGGACATGCCAGCTGGACTTTATATGTTGGCTGTTAAAAAGCTTTAGGAGCCAAAATTATAATTAGCTCACTCATATTGAAATATGTTCTCCCTAGCTGTTTTTTTTCCACAGCCTGATGCAATTCCTGAAAGATGCAATTTCCTTCAGCACAGGAAATATGCATCACACCGTTGGCATTAAGCAACCACCCGTGCAGTGGCTGTTGCAATGCATGCAAGGGGGGGCCGATGCATTTTCTGACTGGTGCATGTTGGGGGTGTCTGTCTGCAGGGCCTGGTGCAGAGGGCTCGCACTGGCTGGGACTGAGCAGTGCACCAACTGCAGGGATCTACGCTCCTGGCAGAGCGGGCATGAATCGCCCAGGCTCACAGGAAATGCTTTGTACAAGCAAACTGGATGAAAAGCAGGGTTAGTCCAACAACAAATCATCAGTGCAAGAAAGTTGCTTGTATTTCAGCAGCACCTAATTTTATGTATTATGAAGTAGTGCTTAAGAGGGCCCATTGAGATCCAGGTGTCACTTAATCAAAATTACTGTTGCACACTGTATGTAAGTGGTGGGAGTGAAGGACTGATAGGCATAGCTGAAAGAAACTTTTATGAAGGAACTTTGACAGGAAACATGCACTATAGCACAGGATGCAAATCTGACAGACATGGATACTTATTGGGACAACTAAAGTCTGTTAAGCAGGCCAGTGAGAGTACAGCTAGTCTGAGAATGTCTTCATTCACCCCCCTCTGTCACTCTTCTGATGTTAGCATAGATGTGTCCACTGTGAGAACTGGTCCATAACTTCTGTAGCTCACCAGAGTTGAGAAAGGGAATGGAGGATACTGAGGCAGGCAGGATAGCAGATGAGATTTCATAACAAGTCAGACACTGCAAGAAGGATCCAAATTCTCCTGTTTCACATTTCAGTACCATCCAATGGTTCATTTTAATTCAATCTGAAATTTTTACTTATTTTTTTCCCCCACTGTTTGGACTGTTTATCTGCAAGATAGATATTAAATCATATTAGGGGTGGTAAAATGCTTTTCCCTGAAAGTTTTCTCAGATTCTGTGTTTGGTTGATTTCTTTTACTTGCATTTGTTCTTTCTCTGTTGTGGGTGCTTTTCCATAAATGGGGAAGTTTCTCAAAATGAACTGATTTTTTACTTCCATGTTAGATATCTATGATGGTTACACAGTTGCATATTTTGAATATTTAGTTTTGTTTTGCATAAAAGACTCCTATCCAACTTTCCATTTTACTACTTTTTTCCCAAAGGAATAGAAATCTTTCTTTAGGTACATCATTTAGTTTGGATAAGTGACTCATAAACTTCTAGCACTGGGGAAAAATGAAGAGGGAGTGTTCCTAGTAGAAGATGTTATGTCCATGTGAGAGCTGCACACCTTTGGTTTCGTCTACCCGGCTCTTTCCCAGCTGTGGTTTAGCCAGCTCTTTCCCAGCTGTGGTTTAGCCAGCCCTTTCCCAGCTGTGGTTTAGCCAGCCCTTCCCCAGCTGTGGTTTAGCCAGCCCTTCCCCAGCTGTGGTTTAGCCAGCCCTTTCCCAGCTGTGGTTTAGCCAGCCCTTGCACTGGCGGGGCCAGGCCAGCGGCAGCTGCCCGCACAGCCCGGCGGGGCTCCAGGGCACAGAGAACCCTCCCCGCACAGCAGCCGGGCACATGCGGGACTCAAGAGCATTTTAAAGAGTTCTGATAAAAGTTTCTTATATTTATTATTTAATCAGAAAACCCTATAGTATGTTCATGAATTGATTAACTGATTTTATGGACAGCCTCCCTTCAGTTTGAATTCTGTTTTGAAAACTGATTCTTTGCAGACACAAGATGCACAAGGAGAATCATAGTCTTGCAACCACAGATCAATTCAGATATTTTGGCAGGCAAAAAGAAGAAATTCAAAGCTGGAATAGAAGAAAGAGCTAAAAATTAATGGACCACTTACTTTGAAGTTTGAAAGCAAGCAGTTAATGTTACTCTATGAGGCTGATACTAATCCAGCAAATTTTTTTCCCAGATACTGCATTTGATGCATGTGTCTCTTCTTAAAATGCTTTTTTTATTTCATTGATTGAAAGATTAGGGAAAGAAATCATTCTTATAATGTTTGAGCTGAAAACTTTCTTTCTAGTATTTAAGGGGGCAGTTGAATGCCAATTTGACTTCTTAATGAATAGACATCTGGTATCTTAGTTTTTCTTAGACTCCTGAATTCATGCAGGTATCTAAATTTGCTTTTGTCACATAAGAAGAACGAATGCTGTTGAGTGTGGTACTACTAGATAATATTGAGTCACTGAACAGAATGAAATGTTTAGAATTAGAACTCCAGAAAGTAAGCATGAAATTTTATTACTTGAAAATTACTGTAGTTTCCATGGTGGAAATGTAGAAGGATTATAATACAATTTGTAACACCTATAAAATGCATTATTTTGATGGACCATTTTTCTATGTTTAGAAATCAATGAAATACAAATGATTGGAATGTGATAACAAATATGAACGGGGTGAAAACTTGAGATCTTTATTGCTTGAAAAAAGGGTGTACTCAGACTTTCATGCTTTATGTTCTGGAAACTAACCTATGTGATACTAATATTATAGAGATAGTAAATGTACTTCATTCTTTTTATGCAGCTCAAGTGACATTGAGGAGAAACTGTGCGGTTACCCAGCTGTACCGACACCATTAGGAAGCTTGTTCTGGATCACAGGTAAGTCAGATAAATATTTTGGCTTTGTGTATTGGGGTACAGAGCCTGTAGTCAGCAGTTGGTATTTGGCATGCAACTGCCTACTTTATCCATTTTTATGCACCAACTAATTTCCTTGATGTAGGGATTTGGGAACAGTGAAATAATTTCATAAATTATAAGCAAAAAAAGTAATCTGTTTCATCTACTTCATTCTGGGTAGCCACTGCATAAAACCTGTCAAAAACATATTGCTTTGGGTTCATCCCTGCTGCAGTTCCATTGATTACAGTGGAGTTAAATCAAAGATGAATCTGTCTGTTCAATTTAAATCTAATGATTGGTTAAAAAGTCGGGGGGAGAGCCCTGTCTAAATCCAGGGCTGTTTTATCCTTGTGTCAGCATTTAATTCCATTTGCATATAAGCCTATTTCCCTTCTCTAAATTTAATTTGTTAGAGCTTGGCCCTCAGCAACAACAGCAACAACAAAGTAATTGCATGCACTATTGGGCAATGGTGCCAATACAGCATGTGCTATAAAAATGTCTCATGCAAATTTATAAAATGTAGGTATTAGTGACACTCTGCCTGGTAACAAGTATCTGGATACCTGAAAAAAACCTCCAAGCTTGATGGACATGTGACATCTAATAATACACATAGGAAGAAGCCTTTTTTTAATATCAGCTATTAATTGTGGCCGTTTCGCCAAAGGAAATAAGATATCCATGTCTTGTATGACCAATGGGAACATTCTAGAGTTTCACTGTGATGAGATAAAACTGGCTGAGGCTTAGTTCTCAGGCTGCACTAGATATCATCTATGACTTTGCATAAGGTACTTTTGCAGTATATCTGAGCAAGCTTCTTTTAAACTGGGCAGGAGTGCTTGGCATTGTCACAATATACCTTGTTTGTTTAGCTGCTACAGTCCACTGCAGTAGTGTGTTCTCATGCCACCTAGCCTCAAAACACACAGCCCAATCTTCACTGAGACCTTTTACCTGGCCATTTTTTAATAAAAAGACTCTTGCTGAATTTGACCTGATCAGCAGTCATTCCAATTCAGCTGAAATTCCAAAGTTAGTGGTACCTGCCTTAAGTTAATAGAATCCTTTATTCTCCTTTCCCCTATCCTAAATATTTGATTGCACCAAAGGGGAAACCCTCAAATCAAAACATTTTTTAGCATTTGATTAGAGTTTTTCTTTCTGTTTTAAACCCCAGCTGTTTCATCATACATTCTGATGCATTAAAACTAATTGTTGTCATGGATTCTTATGTCTTGTCAATTTTGCACAACTTGATGATCTGTTAAGAACAGATCACTTCAGTTTCACCATTGGTGGAAAGAGTACACTGATGCCAAGGAGTAAATATATTGACCTGAGATACTGTGCAATTTTATGCAAATAACAAAGCCTGGAAGAGAAGTCAGATTTTCAGCATTAGGGCTGCATGATGTGGGACTAACTTACAGAGAGTGGAGCATAAACACCCATCTTCCCACTTTCTGATTTCTGTGTTTAGATAAATTAGGTTATTTTGTAATGTATCAGATCTTTTTAATACAAACTGTTTCTCGTGTGGCCAGGAAAGCCCACTATTACCTCTATTACTTCTATTACTTGTTCCCATTACCTCTTGGTGCACTTGCAGCCTATCCTCAGTAGGATTAGAAGGCACTCAGGACCTTTCAGGAGGCACTTACCACTTTACAGGATTAGGATAAGCCTGCCTTTGATGTTTTTGTGATCATACCCATCTGTCGTAACTGAACATGGTGAAGTAGGCTTTATTTTTATTTAATGTTTTAATTATGCTTAAAAGGTCAAATATAAAAATATTTTTTCTCAGTTTGCCTGCTTTTCTTTAAAAAAATCTGTGCGGATGTGTTGCTTTTCAATACATATGGTAACATTTGAAAAGTAAAGAAATCCCATGGTTCGAATCAACAAGATGTGGTTTCACCTGATTTTAAGGTTTACCCATTGTACTCTATGTCACACTCCTTCCTCTTCTTCCATCCATATATTCTTTACAAATGTCAGATAAGGCTAATCCTTCATGTGACATTACTACAGATGGTTACACTGGGGACTTAAACCAGATGCTGATAGTCTGGATAATCTGGATAAAAGCTGGTAACCTAAAACAAATCCATTTTGTGTATTACTCATGCTAACAGTTAAGATATATATAAAATCTTTATTACCCTTTAACACTTTACATAACTCTTTTGCTTTCCTCTTTTTATACTTTCAAAGTTGTTATTTTAGAGAAGGACAGCGGGATTTAAAAAAAAATCTACCTCAGCTAAATCATGCATGTATGTATGTAATAAGATTTAGGGAGGGGGAGAGACACTTTCTAGATAAGAAAGAACACTAATATTTTGTTTTAAAATTCAAATATTAGGTTGATAATTGGCACTGGAAAATTAATTTACTTTCATAAAAAGAGGTTTAATGAAAGCATTAGCAGTAAAAAAGTAACTCTCTTTTGTACTTTTGAAGAGTCTTTGAAATTCAGGATGGGAGCTGATAGGGATATCTTCTGCTGAGTGGCCCAGACCTCTGATTAGACTTGAGTGTTTGGAACCCATTTTTCTGTCTATTTAAGAATGGTAATATCCTTAGATGAGATTTACTCTGAATATTATGTATATGTTTATTATTTCATTTAGTAATGAACTTTGTATTCTGAACTGGGGGATTCACAAAGACTTGTTAGTCTAGGAAGAACTCTTGGGTGTGTGTTAAGCATCTCCTTATTAACACAGGAAATTCTGTGACTAAACATACTGGATCCTTCCTTGCCCACCTATGACTATCACTGAGTGCTGCCCATGGCTAGAAGAATTGGAAAGGAAGTTAGGTTATTGTTCGTAGCTTAGTATAATACTATTTTAGCTCTTTCAGCTGTATTATTTTTTTATTTTTTACTAGGTTTTATTTCTAAGCTGGTCGCTAGTCTGGAAGTACAGGAAATACAGGTTTACTAAGCACCTGAGCTATGCAATTATGGTATAGCTTTTCATCTGTTGCTTAGCACGCTTGAGATTTAGATCAAGCATCTTGAGCAGGTCCCTATACAGTAAATGGTCTTGGGCCTAATCTGGTCTCCCTTTAATCCAGTGAGGGCAGTAGTCTGGAGCATGGTTCATGGAGCATGGTTTCTGTGATTTGCTTGTAAGCTTGTTTTGGTCCTAGTGTGCACTACAGGAACAGGTAAAAAAGTTGAGGACCCTGGCCAGCCAAAGCATGTGTTGTACTGAGGTTTGAATACTGGGATTTAATACAGCCTTCTGATGCCAGTCAAAGCTCTCAGCTGGACAATTCTCATAGTCTTTAGCACCATATCCAGTAGCTAGTAATGACAACCTCTCTCAGAGTCCTTACTGATTCACTGATTCTAAAAGTGTATAGATCACACCATGTACTCAAATCAACACAGTTCTATTGAAATCAACAGAATCCCGATGACTTATACCAGTGGAGAACCTTGATCCTTCCTTTTGTGTATGGAATGATACAGCAGTGAAGTATACTGCTCAATGAGTCAAATCATTCTCAACAAATTGCTGAAAATATTTAGAAGAGTAGTCAGTCATTACACCTTAGTGCATACTGCTATGGTGCAAATATGTGCACATATACTGCACATATGGTGCAAACCTTCTGCATCAAAGGAAATGAGTAAAGATTTATTGTTCTGATATTTTCTGTTGTTAATATACTGTTATCAGATACCATCATAATTGTTCATTTTGGGATCATAAACCTTTATAGTGGAAGAGAAGGCAAAGGTCTGAAAGGTTAGACAGAGGAAGACAAATTATTGCAGAAGATGTGGAAAGATGGAAAAGGTGAGTAATTACATGAACTTTGCAAGCAAGGAACCAAATTTTTACAATTATGTGTTTCATGACAAATGCAGTCTTGGTGGGCTCATATACATTACACTAAATATCATAATTAATAGTGATAATGTTATTTTAGTGTTTGTGGTAATCAAAGAGTGGAAGCAATAACTGGATTTAACTGATAGCAACATTTGACTAACTTTTGACAATTACATTTTTAAGTGTAAATTTTTAAATTGGGAATTTAAACAGCAAAAGTTCCTTGATAATTTATTTTAGAGGCTTACTGAAAATATGAAAATAGAGTAAAGTTCTATTATTGACCATATAGATGTGCCTGAAAGACCTATGCATGGGACAGATATTTTGCTGCCATCTGTTCCATCTTAGAGGAATGCCCAATTCAGCAGAGCTATTTCTTTGCATGTTGTAGGCCTGGAAATGCCATTTCAGCACTATAAGGTCTGATTCATCAAGAATGAAACGTCACATTCAGGAATGCTGTTTAGTGGAGTGTGTATGTATGGAAATGATGTCCTGGTATAGAGAGGGTCCTGAGTTATGGGTGTTTTATGATCCACATATCTCTAATTCATCTTTTGCTTTTGAAACGTAACACATGTTCTAGCTGCACTGATACGGGTTCCTGCTTATTATAGTTAATGGATTATTCATCCTCTTTGTCCTTGACATAATCCTAAGTATGTGCATAAAACTCAGATCATGTTGCCCATAAAAACCAATCAGCCCAGAGTTCTTCTGCAAGGTGTTGAACATTCACCCAGAGCAGATGGTAAAGATAATGTTTAATAAAGAGTTAGAGGATTAGTTGGAACAAAAATAAGCTAAGAGAAAGGGATAATTTCATTTCATATGAAAGTCCATGACATTTCATGTACCCAAGGACTGATTAAAATTATGCCAAAAGCTGCTCTTTTTGGCCAGTTTGTCCTAATACTGACCCTGCTTATGTTGTCAGCTGCTGTATCTGCATGTTATTTTACCACTTTCTGAATAACTCAAAAGAAAGCTCTTCTGATTCTCCTGTGGCTAGCAAAAGTAATTCTTAATTAAATAGGAAGAGGAGAGATGATAGGATTCTGCTAAATGTGATGAATATATTTAAGCAACTGATACCTCAACTGAGGTTTAGAA